GAAATTAATTTACCATTTGGAAATGAAAATATCAGTAACCAGCAAGTCCATCTTCAGTGGTGGCAATGGAAGGCGAAACCGAATTGCGCGATTCATCGTAATATTCCCCTAAAGGTGACTGTTCCACTCTGATATCCTCAATCATTTTAGCCACTTCCGCCATGGAAGGCCGCTTTTCAGGCTGAGGAAACACACAGGCCAACCCCACATGAAGCATTGAAACAAGTTCCTCCTCAATGTTTTTGTACCTCAAAAGCTCTTGATCAAACACTTCGGCTGTCCACTCTTCTTTAACAACGGATCGAACCCATTTCGGAAGATCAACTGCCAGTTCTTCGCCCTCGACTCGAGGAAGAGTTGGTGACGGATACTGTGATGGAGCTCTCCCTGTAAGCACTTCCAACAACAAGACCCCAAAGCTATAAACATCAGCCATTTGAGACAGTCTCTTTACTTCAGCTTGCTCGGGAGACCTGTATCCACCCAATCTTGCTATAGCATGAGCAGGGTTTAAAAGCAAAGCCAACCCAAAATCAGAAATCGAAGCAACCCCATTTTTGTCAAGAAGCACATTGGATGATTTCACGTTTCCATGTGGTATTTTTGGTGCACTGAACTCTTGATGAATCTTTGCTAATCCTCGAGCTGCCCCTAACACTAGGCTGATCCTTGTCGTCCAATCCAATGGAATCCTCCCTGGTCCTCTGTTTCCTGTTTGAAAAGATTAAAAAACGAAAATAATCACACATTTACACTCCCAAAGTCAACAAAAACTGAAATTCATTACCATGGAGAAGTGAATGCAAGCTCCCATTAGGGAGATAATCATAAACAAGAAGCTTCTCTTCTTTAGCATAATAGTAAGCCCTCAGCTTCACAACATTTGGGTGCTGAACTTTCCCAATCACATCCATGTACTGTTCAAACTCTTTCCTCGGACATGGATTCGCATCTTTAAGCCTCTTGACGGCTACGGTGCACCCATCATCGAGCACTGCTTTGTAGACTGTTCCCAAGCTCCCTTTTCCGAGCATTTCTGCTGAAGCTCTCAACAAATCCTCCAACACAAACTGTTTCCTTCTCTCAAAAAACACAAGCTTACTCTTATCTGTTCCGTCCGTTCCATCGCTGTCAGGCTCGGCTCCCCCATTTGCATAAACTTTCTTTTCACTTCCATAGCTACTTCTGCTCCTTTTCCCACCATCACTACCGGCTTTCCAAACGATCTCTCCACTGTTTCTCCCACAGAAATAAGCCACTGTAAAAGAAACTACCACCAGAAACACCACACAGGTTGCCACTACAATTGCAACTATAGCACCGGGGCTTAACCCTTTATGTGTCTTATTCTTGTCTTGTTCGATGATGGGTGTCCTCGGCATTGAACTCGGGTTCGATGTAACGGCCTGGGTCGATGAATCCACCGGTCGAGACCCTGTAAAGGAACAAACTGGAAATGGATTTGGCCCACAAAGCCCTTCATTTCCCATAAAGCTTTTTTCACTGAACTTGTTCAGTAAATTTCCAGGCACCCTCCCGTAAAACTCATTGTTGGTTAAATTAAGCTCTTCTAAGTTTCGAAGAGAAGAAGAAAAATTTGGGATTTGGCCTGTCAATGCATTGTTTTGGAGCCGGAGAGTGATGAGGCGTTTCAAACCGGAGATTTCTTGAGGAATGTTGCCACGTATGTTGTTGTTGGATAAATCTAGTCGAAGCAGCCGTTTGAGAAGCGATATTTGCGGGGGGATGTCGCCGGATAAATCATTGTTTGAAAGATAAACGAGTTTAAGGTTGGAACAGTTAGTTAAGGGTGAAACGGTGCCGTTCAAGCGGTTGTTTTGGAGGTCAAGGATTCGAAGCTGGTCAAGGAGGGAAAGGGCGGTGATGGGGCCACGGAGGGAGAGGGAAGGGAGGGAGAGGGCGGTGACCCGACCCGTGGAAGAGCAAAGAACGCCACGCCACGCGGAGGAACAGGCATCGCGGCCGGTCCAGTTGGAGATGAGGGTGCCGTGGGTGTCGGCTTGGCGGCGGAAGAGAGTGAGGGCATCGGTGTCGTTGGAGGAGAAGGAAAGAGGGAGAAGAGAAAGGAAAAGGGTGGAAAGAAGGAAGAAGGAAGGGGAATTCATTGTTTGGTTTCTCTGAGCGGGAAGAGAGAAGGGAAGACTGTTTTTTAAAAAATAAATAAATAAATAAAACACTACACCACGAAATGCATTTTACCTCTCTATGAATGAGAAAGGTTATTTTTATTTTTATTATTATTATTATTTGGTTCATATGAATGAAAGAAATTTGTATTGAGATGTTGTGCTATATATGATATGATTAAAGGTAAAAAAGAAAAGAGAAAAAGTGAATTAGGGTGGTTGTTGTGCTAATGATTGTTGTTCTCCACTCCTGAGGAATGGAATGAGTAAAATAGCTTACAAATTCAGATTGCATGGTTGGGATTCTAATACTATGACCATAGGGATCATCACTAAATTCATATTTATTTAAATCTACAATAATTGAAACAAAATATTTAATATTGGTCTATTTATTGTTTTTATGGATAAATTTTTAAACTCGATGATTATAATATAGTACTTTTAAATCTTTTTTAATCATTAATAACATGTACATTCCTTGACGTAATTGTTTGAATTCATTTTTTTTAAGAAATATAACATTATATTTGATTCTTATTAATAACTTTTGGATGCTTATTATTAAAAGAAAAATAGAGGAAGATGAGAGTTTAATTAGGTTTAATTAATGGTGGTCCCTTGTAGAGCCGGGTATATGGGCTAAGGCCCGCGGGCTACCCGTATAACCCGCGGTCCGTGTGGACTTCAGGCCTCAAAAAATAAAGCTCGTTTAAATTACGGGCTTATTAGTTCGGACCGTTAAATCCGTGGGTTTAATGGGTATACACGCAAGCTCCGTGGGTAGCCCGCTTAATTTAATTATTGGGAAAAAACTATTAAAATTTTTAGACCTCATTTTTAAATTTCTAAATTCGCCATTATTCAGAAGTAACGAACCAAGGACGGAGCCAGAATTTTAGTTCAAAGGGGGCAAAGTGTCGGGATTTTTAGTTCAAGAGGGCAAAGTATAATTAACAATAGAAACAGGGGGCAAAATCAAAATAGATTAAAATTTGAAGCCTAAATAGATAATTTTCCCAAAAAATAATGATAAAAAAATTTGTTTGGGGGGGGGGGGAATGTACCTCCGTCCCTGTAACGAACGGACTCATTTTATAACGTATAAACATATATTTATATCGGACACTCTTATTTAACTGGGTTTAAAACGGTATGAATTGCTTAAATCTAGTGATAAAAGGCATAGAAATCGGTTCTTTTGATGCATGGAAAGCACAAAGAAAGTGGTCATACATTCTCGGCAAAGGAAGTTTCACCAGTGATTTGAGATCATTTGCTAACTTTTTGGTGCATTCCAGATTTAATTCGTAATCAAATATTTCAGGGGGGGGAAACACTTCATTCAATTACAGAGTATATATTGTAGAATATAAAATGAAGCAATAAAGTAAAACAAACATGATAAAAATATATTAAATTTGATTATGGTTTGCATTGAAGAAGAAAAAAAAACAGAGCAGTTAGTAAAAAGAACGATGATAGAAAAAGACATGTATAATTGGTGGTAAAAAAATGAAAATGCACATGATGGGGGACAACAAAGACAGTGATAAATACCCTTAAAAAGAGACGGAAACTGACACTTTTGGTTGTTGTGCTGTAAAATCTAAAATTTAATATTAAAAATATATAATATTTTAAATTGAATGTAACCTAATTATTATAATGCTAATAATTGTTTATATATAAAAAAATAGTGTTCTTTTAACTTAAGACATAAAGTTCAAACTCAAATTAATGTTATAATTCAAATAGTTATATATATATATATAAAGAAAACATGATTAAAGGGAGGTAAAGGAAGGAGAGATTAAAGGCGGGATTGACGTCTGAATTTTGATTTCCTTTCATTTTACTCCAAACCAGATAATGTCCCAAAACTAGCTCCTGTCCCGCACCAAAAAGTGTTTATTTTTCTTTTATATTTTTATTAATCCTCCATGCCTCTTCCAAGCACTTGAATCCTACCCACATATCATTGTGTCAAAAGAGGAAAGTCTATCATGTTTAATTTACATAGTGAATATAAAGACAAATAAAGGTAAACGAATGTTAAAAGCCTTTTCCCTGTGTGTTTATATTAGTAATCCACTAATGGTTTGTCGTGGTTCTGATTAGGGTAGGTTATTATGATTCATTGTGCGAGAGGTTCAACTTCAAGGAATATATTTTAATTGTCTTTACCATCACCTGTTAAGGTTGATAAGACCTATAATTCTCATTCATTATATATTTATATGGACCGAGTTTAATTTGGAAATATACATTTCCTTATACAGGCACAAATGTTTTATAAAGACATGTGACATATGCATTCTAAAAACTGTTTACTCATAAAGGTATAATGTTTTACTTTCATTTAAGACGAGCATAACTCAGATAAAGAGTTCATGTTATGCAAAAGCAAGTATATCGTGTGTGCGAGTAAAAACTCACAAACCTTTTTTTATGAATCAAAAATCTTTTCTTTTTAAAATTTTCGTAAGTAATTCATAATACAAATTTGATTGAGATAATGTAACATTAAATTGAGTTTGAACTTTATATTTAATAAGAGAGTTTGGACTTTTTTGAGCATCAAATAATTAGTGTCAGTTTTAGGGTGTGAATTAATTTTTAAATGGTGTCAATATTTTTTAATATATTTATATAAAATTTATTTAAAAAATTATTTCTTTAATGGTCCTCCTCAACCTGAATTTAATAGCCATAATAATTGAAAATCAAAATGCAATGAATGATATATAACGAGTTAATGACTCAACGTGTTGATCTTCAAATACATGCTGCATATATACAGGAACAGAAGCAAAAGGCTGACAAATCTCACGCTTTCACCATTCATACCCTTTTTTTAACATGGCACCTGAGAAAAGCCTGCAGTCTGTTTATTCATGGAAGAAACATCGACATATCGACGATACAAAATCGACGTGACCCTGTCTTTTTCGATTTCGAAAGAATGGTTACTCGCGGTTATGAAGCAGCAGAGTGTTCGAAATCATAGCATTTAACTAACAGCAATGAAATTGCTGAACATACACATGTTACTGTAAATGAATATGTATATCAACAAAGGCTTGCTTCAAAACAAGAGACACTGAATTTCAGATAAGGCTCAACTAAGTACCTTGAAAATGGGATGGATTTCTTCTTTGTTCTTAGACGTTAAGACAGGCCTCATGGTGGCATTGGATGATGCCTCAGGAAGTGTTATCTAGTGTCATCATCCCCTTTGAGCGGATATAGGGTACAGCCACTGTCGGCAGATTCCGGTAAAGCCTTTTCATTGTGTGCTTTACCAATCCTATAGACATAATTAAGGCCCACGAGAAGCTCGGTAATAGCTGCTTCGGTTTTTTCTTGATCAGCAAAGTGCAGCGTCTGTACCAAAAGTACATTTGACCTGGAAACCAATTGCTGTTCCTCAAAATTATGCTCGGACTGCCACCTGATCATGTTGTGAGCGAGTGGCGCCAGCCATTCCAGTATCCCCACCAGTGCAAGGCTCCACTCTGCTGCAAGGGAAGCATCATAGATGGATGAAGCCAAAGTCTTTACATATGGCTTCAGTTTAATGCGCAGAGCATTTCTCATAGTTGTAGGTAACATACTGTATAGATCGTCTCTTGCATCGACACTGATCAAGTGAGGTGACAAAACTAGTTTCTCTATCAAGATAATCAAGTTTGCATATCGGAGAGATAATGCAGCAGCACAAAGTGTTGATGTAGGAGCATTCAACAATCGCTTAGTATTGAAAATGTATAGTTTAGAGTATATATTATTGCTTCTGGACAATGTCTCCATCTTTGAATTGTTTATTTTGTCGATATTTTTGGTGTAAGCACCACTGAACCTCATAGATGCACTGCCAATTGGCTTGCAGCTCTCTAAAACAGGAGAAACGCTTCCAGCTGACATGCATCCTTTAAAAGGTCCAAATGCAACATGACCAGCCCGTTTGGTTCTCGAATGCAGCAGCTTTCCATGTAAAGCAGTAGAGTGATAGTGAGATTTTAGATGCTTGCTGTTAGTTCGATGCTTCATAGTCTTTGAAAATGACCTGCCCAGAGGTCCAGACGAGAACCCGCACAGATTATGATCAGAAGGATACACTGAAGATGGTATTATGGTGGAAAAGGAATGGCTACGTGAAAGACAATCGCTATTTATAGATTCAAAATCATCACTTGCATCTACGGATGCCATTTGGTTGGTCCCGAACACATGTTTTATCCTCTCAAGTACTGTTAAAAGTGTTCTCAAGAGAAACCGCACGATGTAATCATAAGTTCTAACCCATGGAGACATCTTGCGTAGACTTTTTACTTCCTGACGCTGCAATATTACTTTCTGTTGGAACTCAAGTAATTTCACCCGATCAGACTCGGGATTTCTCTGCATCCTCCTAAGGGTTTGCTCAAGTTCTGCTAACACTTCCAACTCTTGAGCCAACTGCATCGTAACTCCAACAAATCTCTCCATTTTCTTCACTTTCTTGTCCATCTTCTTCCACCGATATTCCCACCCAAACCACTCGAGATTGTTCAAAAGCGGATCATTTATGAAGGCTTCAAAACGGTGATATACAGGGTCAGTGCACTTCTTCCCGAGCCTGGCCACAAACATTGCCAGATGTCCAAAATTCTCCATTACCTCATTCAGTGCAAGATCCATAAGGTAATTCTCATCATCAGATACAAGCCTTTGAATTCCAATTGAGTCTTCAATATCTTCCCTCAACCTCAAGATCTCCCTATCATCCAAAGAATGCCATAAATTCACCACCTTGGACATAAAGGCCGCGACTTCAAAAGCCAAAATTCCAAGCACCACCTTGTCGGTACTCTCAGAAGCACTCTTCCTCAGATTCCACCATGAACTGCCAAACCACGACTCCACCATCTCGCGTCCCATAATCCGAAAAGCTACAGACTAAGAACTAGTCAAACATCCACAAAACATCTCACAATCCCTGAATTGGACCATAAAATGCACAGGTCAGACCAGTTGTCCATCACAGAACTCAAGTATACATGAGCATATCCTTCTATTGTACATTAAAAAAACACCAAAAATATGAAATCCATATTCTAAATTTTATCATTTTCTCACTTCTTAAGGCCATTTCAAGCACCGAGAACATAAAAAGGAAGAAATTAATGAGCTCCATCAAGCAAATCATCCCCATAAAAAATATTGAAAAAGAGCAAAGGTTTAAATAGTTCTCTAATATCTCTTCAATTATATACCACTAAACAACCCAATTCAGCATATTTGACAAACTAGGGTAATTCGCCAAGTTTGAATCTTTATGACAAATAGCAGCTCAACAAATAACTAACATATTCACTTCAAAGATACCCCAAATCCCAAAAATACAAACTAAACCCAGAATTTGAAAGTGAAGAAACACACAATGCAACAATTAAACCAGACAAAACCTTCCAAAAAAAACAAAGAGTCGGATAAAAATTGCACTTAAACTTACAAGGGTGACATCCCAGCAGCAAAGAAACAAAAGAAGACTTGGGTTTACTTTTCTAAAGCGAAAAGCCGCCACCGATAAGAAGATGATGATGAAGAAGAAGAAGAAAGGGATTCGAAGGGTGAAGAAGAAGATAAGGAAGAGACAGAGCTGGAAATGGGTCAAAACGAGGTTAAAAGTGGAAACCCAAAGTTGGTGGTGGGTTTATTATTGTGGGCATCAAGCTGTAATAAATGTTTGCTTTTGCCTTTTGTTGCACCTAAAAATCTCAGTTCTCATCTCTACTCTCTCCTGTCAGAATCTATATAAAGGATCCAATCCATATTTGTATAATTTTATGTTTGATACCACAAATGAATTTGAAAATTTTAAAAGTATTAATTATATTAACAATATTAATCGAAAACGCCTTCAAAGATTTCAAGTTTGTTTCTTTTCTAGCATTGGAAGTGAATTCAATTTCGATGAGCTATCATGTTATTTTTGGATATTGTAAGGAAGGTTCAATTTGGTGGTGAATCTAAATTCTCCGAGAGCTAAGAAAAGTATATTGTTATTTGCACTTCCTGAAAAACTTGATCATCATCTTAAACAATTATTTTTATTCATTATGAAATCAGCTTACTATTATATTATATACTACGATAAAAATAAATGTAAAATTTTTAAGTATGTAATTTTATTTTTAAAATATTATTTAATATAATTATGTTAAATATATTTTTTGTAAATTTTAAATAATGTAACAAAAATAACTTTATAATTTTTTATATAAATATCTTAAATTAATATTAAAGTTAACTTGTTAAGAGTGATCATTGTCTTGAGCCATTTTCTTATTGTTCTTTTTTTAACAGGCGACACTAATTTTAGTGTTAATCGTCGATCGTGTGTATTTCCTTTTTTTCATATTGCATTTTGTTTTTTTATTGTCAATAATTTTATCTCTTTGACACGCTTTCGTCTGTCTTTATGACATATTTTTTTATCTTTTAGCATGTTTTCGATCATTTGGCCATTTTTTCGTTTAATTCTCTCATGGTTAGATTTGATGACACCTCGACTGATCAAGATGATGCTTATTTGTTATCTTATTAATCTTTCCTGCTTTGGATCCTTGTGTTAAAGTATATATGGTTAGACAGTTAATGACATGTTGTAGTTCTTTACATGTGTCCTCCCAGTTGGTTATGCTGTTGCAACAACTCATTGGTGGTTTATCAAGATCATGTTTAGCTCTTTAAATAGCTACCATTTCTTGTATATTAACACTATGATTGAAATACAAAAATTGATGCATATTCCAGTATATTTTTTTCTCTTTAACATGGTATCATTTGTTATCAGATCTTGAAACGGTTTCGTTGTGTGTTCGTTGTTTTCCAATAGGTTTCTAAACCTATTGGAAACAAATACTGGAAACAAAATACAAGGGTAGGCCCAAGTAGCAATGCCAACTATGCGGAAACTAGTTCACCTTGTTGACAAGTGTTGGCATAGGTTTTATCAGAATTTTAAGGGAGTATATGCTCAACAAAATTCTTCAACTTCTGAGGCACAGGCCAATTTTTTTTCATGTTTTACTCATGCGTCTAATTGTTATTACACTCCTTTTGTAAGTGCAAATGCAGGAGATGGAGGCTCTTCTGAGTTGGAGCCAGTTGAAAATGTTCAAGTCAATGCTTTGATGGCTGATGATCCTTTGAACTATGCTAACTGGTTCCCTGATTTAGGATCCATGCATCACGTGGCTGGTACTTCCTCTACTATCATAAGCAAACAAGCAAACACTCGTAGTGGTAAGGTTCATTTAAGGGATGTTTCAACTGTTGCAATTACTCGTATTGGTCGAAATGTTTTCAAACTTCTTCTAGAGATCTTTTGCTTAATCAGGCGCTATATGTTCAAAAAATAACCAAGAATCTTTTTTCAGTTTCAAAGTTTACTAAAGTATTCAGTCTACTTTGAGTTTCATGTCAATGTTTGCTATGTTAAGGATAAAAGCACAAGAGTCGTGCTGATGGAGGGAAGACATGATGATTGATTATATAGTTTTGATTGTCAAATTCTAGGAGAAACAACAGATGTTCATAACACAACCGTTAAAGATACCAATGAGTATTGATTGTGGCATAAAAGACTAGGACATCTTGTAGCTGAGGTGATGAAGTCAATGCTTAATAAACAACTAAATGTATAAAAATTGAAGTTTATACAGCCTGTTAGATGGAAAAAAGTTGAGTTTTGCCATTTCCTGTATCACAAACAGTGTATAATCAACCCTTTTAAGTTGATTGAAATTGATGTATGGGGTACTGCCCCTATTGCTTCTTGTAGTTTTCGATATTTTGTAAGCTTTATGGATATGTACTCAAGGAATAACTGGGTATATCTTTTAAGAAACAAAAGTGAATTTGTTGTTGTCTTTGAAATGTTTGCTGCTGTGGTTTCAAATTAATTTAATTTAACCATTTTAGTGTTACAAACAGATAGTGGAGGAGAGTTTTGATTCCTAGAGGTTATCTTACATCATCTTGGTGTTAAACTTAGAAGGTTGTGTCCCCATACCTCACAAGAAAACGGGGTAGTGGAAAGAAATCACAGAGACATAGTTGAAAATGCTCTAGCATTATTGGCACAAGAATCAATGCCTCTGACATACTAGTCTCATGCAGTCCTCAATGCGGTCTACCTTATTAACAGGATGCCCTCTAAGCTTCTTTATAATATTTCACCTCATCGAAAGGTATATGGCAAGGCTCCTGACTATAGTTTTTTTCTTTTCAAAATCTTTGGTTGTCATTGCTTTCTTCATCTCAGGGCGTTTAACAAGGCATGTGTTTTCTTGGGTTATTCTCTAATGCACCATGATTACCAATGCAAGGATAAAAATGGAAGAATATATGTATCCGAAGTGTGGTATTTAACGAAAATGTTTTTTCTTTTGCTCACAAAGCATTATATTGCAGCAAAGGTGCTAATGTGATGTTTTGATCGAGATCCTTACCGGTTGTTTATAATAAGATTGACAATATTATGTTTCTTAATCAACAAGGACATATCAGTCCTCATCATACAACTGTTCAAGGATCAAGTTCCAATGATGACCAGATCTTAGATGCAACTAATGTTGTTCAATCTGAAGCTACAAGGAATGAGACAAATGTGCAGTCTGTAGAACAAATGGGTGATGTTTCTCTTTCTCTTGATTTTGAACAAGATGTACCCTGTGAACAAGATCAGAATGAAGAAAGTGTTCAGGATACAAGAACAAATAATACTCATGCTATGATCACTCGAAGCAAGCATGACATCTTTAAACCAAAAGTCTTTTTCATTCAGTACAAAGATGTATCTGGAGACATTCAAGCTGCTCCAAAAAATGATGACTGAAGGGTAACTGTTTTGGCTGAATACAATACTCTTCTAAGTAATAACACATGGGATATTGTGGAATTACCGGTTGGGAGAAAAACCATTGGTTGCAAATGGCTTTTCAAGGTGAAAAAAATATTGATGGATCTATAGAAAGATTGAAATCTCGTCATGTTGCCTAGGGTATCTCAGATACGTGGGCATGATTTCACGGATACCTTTAGTCATGTGGTTCGGTTCTTTATAATGAATATTTTGATTTCATTAGTTGTTACATACAAATGGCAAATAAGGCAGGTGGATGTAAACAACGTCTTCTTAAAAGGTGACTTGAGTAAGGATGTCTACATGCAACAAATTCCCGATTTTGAAGAACATTCAATTGATGGAGTTGTCTTGGTGTGCAAATTAAAAAAATGCATTGTATGGGTTGAGACAAGCACCAAGGAACTGGTTTCTTAAGTTATAAGAATTTGTGCTTAGCTTAGGGTTCAAGTCTTCAAGGGCGAACTCTCTGTTGTTTATTCGCAAGAATAAAAGTTAAGTAATATATGAGGTAGTATACGTAGATGATATTCTCATCATTGAGAGATCTCAACTGGAGATCAACCAAGTAATCCATGAGCTGCATGAAAAGTTCTCCTTAAAAGATCTTGGACAACTTAAGTTTTTTCTTGGCATAGAGGTGCATAGATCAGGCATCGACTTGTTTCTTTGTCAAAAGAAATTTATCACTAAATTGCTGCAAAAAAACCTGAATACTTGATGTGAATCTTGCTTCTACTCCTATGGCAACAACAACTAAGCTTAGCAAGAATGATGGGGAAGTGTTAAGTGATCCACGACAGTACCAAAGTGTAGTGGGGGCACTCCAATATATTTTCCATACTAGACTAGACATCTCATTTGCAGTTAACAAAGTTGCACAATTTTTACAAGAGCCCACTGAGGTACATTGGCTAACTGTCAAGCGAATTTTATGTTATCTATGAGAAACGTTAGAGATTGGTCTTTGGTTTTTGGCTCAAGTGCAAAGAATGATGGTACTTAATGCCTTCTCAGATTCTGATTGGGGTGGAGATACTAATCACAGAAGATCAACTATGTATACAATAAAAGTCATCTGCTTGCATGAAGTTTGAAAAAATAGCAGACAATATCTAGATCCACTGCAGAAGATGAGTACAGGAGCCTTGCTGATGTTACATCTGAGGTTGTATGGGTAAAGGTTGTTCTACACGAAATGGAAGTTGTTTTGCCTGAAGCACCTAAAGTTTGGTGTGATAACACCAATGTGGTTGTTATGGCTACAAACCCTATTTTACATGCAAAGAGCAAACATATCGAGCTAGATTTACACTTTCTGTGAGAAAAGGTTGCATCACATGAAGTCCAAGTCAACTATGTTCCAACTGACAGTCAGGTTGCAGATGTCTTAACAAAACCTTTTGCCTTGACCAAGTTCGAATTGTTTAGGAGCAAACTGTGTGTTTTTGAATTTAGAGAAATTTGCAAGAAGTGGTGTGAATGTTAAAGTATATCTGGTTAGGCAGTTATTGATATGTGGTAGTTCTTTACACGTGTCCTCCCAGCTGATTATATTGTTGCAACAACTCATTAATGGTTTAGCGAGCTCATGTTTAGCTATTTAAATATATACCATTTCTTGTATATTAACACTATGATTGAAATGCAAAAGTTGATGCATATTCCATTATATTTTCTTTCTCTTTAACACATTGGATTAAATTTGAATACGTGGTTTACTGTCAAAGATAATTTTCTCAAGACGTTTGACTCTAAGTTGCGATTATCGTTGGTCTTTCAATAGTTTAATCCCTTGTTGTGGTTCGTTTGTCGATGCAG